CCCAAAGTATAGCCTGGGGCTCAGGTTTGGAAGACGAACACAAAACTAAGTGTCTATGTGTGGTTGTATGTCCTCTCAGAGATCATCCCAAGTTCTGAACTCTAGAACCCGTCAGTGGGACCTTACTTGGGCATGGGGTCTTTTCCAGTGGGATCAAGTTAGGGTGGGGTCATAATGCACCGAGGTGGTCTCTAACCTAATGACTTGTATCCTCAAGAGAAGAGGAGAGTTTAGACACAGGCTCACTAAGGCAGAGATTGGAGTGGCAAATCTTCAAGCCAGGACAGGCTAAGCGTGGCATGCGACCACCAGACATAAAGAAAGCAGCATGGGACCAAGTCTCCCAAGAGCCGGTCCTGCCAACAGACACCATGTGACCCTTGTCTCCATCTATGAATGAAGCTCCATGGTCCCTAGAAAGAAACAGGGTTTCTCACAATGAGTCCTTTTAGAAGCATTGTGAAGGCAACACCTGTGGCCAGTAGGGAGGCTGGTACAGACCAGCTCAGTCTTCGGCTTGGGCAAGGGTGATTTTAACCCCAAATCCCAGCATCAATCATGGTACTCAACGGGGCACTAAGCTTTGGGTGGACCCTCTGTTAGGAGGTCATTACTGTTTCACCCTTCACGGGTAGTCTGGGTGTCCCAGACCAAGTGAGGTCATTCTGGGAAGAAGATAAACACCATGCTCTCTGTAACCTCCTAGGGAATCTTTCTAGGCCCTGGTCCCCAAAACTGGGAGCCTCCCACCATGGGCTGAGATCGAGGCATTACCTCAATGGCACATTTTGCTGAAATCATGCACTCAGGTGGTAAGCGCTAGGAAAGGTTAGCTTTACTAAGAGGCCAACAGATACATGATGATATAGGACGCAAAAGGACCCTGAATCTTTAAGACAAACTGCAGCCCACTTCAGCCTTGAATGCCAGACTACTGGTCTCTCACATTGCTCTTTCCAGCTGCTAGGATCACTCAGCCATGTGGAGGACACACTGGCCAGGACAGACACCTCCTGGGCCTCCCTCCAGACCTCAGCTTCTTCTTGGCTCAAAGCTGTTGAGAGGCACAGCTGACCAGGGCTTCCTGGGAGGCCACTGAAGACTCCTGGTGTATCAGTGGGACACCAGCCATTAATCACTCTTTTCCTTGCTGTCGACCCAGGCAATCTCCTGTAGATGCCACATAAACACACTTCACCTTTAAAGGGCTCCTGGTGCTACCCAGAGAGAGAAGAGAAAAGGAGAAGCGGAGGAAGGAGGAGAGAGGAAAGGGGAGAAAGCTGAGAGCCTCCCCCACCCTCACCCACCCCCAAAGCCTCCTACATCCCCCTTCCCGTCCCATGGGACTTTATGGGACTCTCAGGTCACAGAGGGGAGAAAGTTGAAAACAAGCAGGGATGGCTGCTGTGACCGACCCCTCCCCACTCTATCCATCACAGTGACAGAGTCCTGGCCTCTGGAGTCCAGGGGGCTTCCAGGCAGGACAAAGGCCAACAAAGATGTCAGCATGCACCACTGAGTCTGCCTGTCACCACTTCCCAGAGACTACTGCTGCTGTGGTCACCGATGGCTGGAACTCTGAAGCAATAAAAGCAGGCAGAGGATGGGGCACAGACCCCACCACTCCTCACCTTCCCACTCACACATCTACATCACCAAGTTGCAGAGCAACTGCTGTGCTCCCAGCATGGTAAAAAAACAAAAACAAAAACAAAAAGCATAGGGTAGAAGGCGAAACACAAGGTCACGTCTGACCCCAGGGAACCTGACACAGGAGGGACCCTAAGAAATCATTCATATGGGTTGACATAAACCACAAAACAGGCGGGAAGGAGGTTGTGGAGCCCTGACGGGAGTGGGTCAGCTGTCATCTGAGTTTTTAGGGTCAAATCCCAACAATCAAGGTTTTTTTTGCTACTTGTCCCCAGTGCCAATTAAAAAGACAAGCGTTAGAAAAAAGCAAAGACGGATTTTTTTCCCAGTGTGGCCATGTTGGGACAAATGGGGTCAGTGAGGCGACTCATTGGAGAAAGGTGCCTGCCATAAAGCTTGACAGTTATACCCCCCAGGACCCACGTGGTGAGGGACAGATCCTAATCCTACAAGCTGTCCTCTGACCTCACACACACACACACACACACACACACACACAGATACACATACACACACACACCAACACACACACACACAGATACACACACACACACAGATACACATACACACACACACCAACACACACACACACACACACACACACACACACACACACACACACACACACACATCTGTCCATAAATAAATAAATGGAATCATATAAAAAGGGACAGATGAAGAGACCCTTCCCCAAGCCCACCTTTAAAGCATGACTCGAAGTTCAGGTTTAAACAGAGAGCAAGAGGTCTGAACAACCAAGGTCAAGGTGTGGTGTGGTCCTGCCCAGGACTGACCCATCGGTGTCTCAACTCCAGCGGGTCCTGCAACGTTATCAAATTCTCAGAACTGTATGAAATCCCTACCTGGGAAGCAAGTCCATTCTCTGGATTAGCATCAGCATTCAGTCTTTCCCTCCCCGCAGCATGAGATTCCTGTGGAAATGTTAACTCTTTGGGGTCTTTTGTTTCTACAGTCAGGCAACAGATGTGTCTCTCTTTAAAATATCCTCTCTCCTGCCAGAATGGTTAGAGTCCAGAGGCTGAAGAAGTCAAGGATTCTCCCTCTGAACAACAGCCACATTTGACCCGAGTTAGAGTAGGAGCTATCCACACAAACACAGGCAACCTCAATGGACTAGCTAGGAGATGGGGGGCCATGCTGGAATCCTGCTCTCCCTGGAGGGGTCAGTGAGGCCAGCTCCAGGAGGCTGCTACACTCTCTGGACACTAAGTTTCAGAAGTGGGTGTGTCGCTTCCTCCTGGTAGCAGGCTCAGGTGCTGAGAGGTGCCCTGCCCATGGCCAGACCCTCCCCTGAGCGGCCAAGCTAAGGGCTAGGTGGGAGGTGGGTCAGAGCTGTCCATCTGGGCCAGCTCAGACAGCACGCCTACCCCAGCTCCTTCCCTCTTCTTGTTCCTTGCTGTCCAGCCCCCACCCCCACGCTCCATCTGCCTCCCAGAAACTAAACCTGCAACCTTCCTGAAAGGGTGAAGGGAAGACCCTGATTCAGAAATAACCAGTCAATAGTCCAGATCAGAAATCAACTCCCACTGACTGGAAACACACAAAAGCTTCTAATTTCACTGTGAATACTCCGCTCTGCTTCCAACAGGACCCCCCCCCCCCCCCCGCAGAGATCAGCAGGGATCTGAGGCCTCCGGGGGAGCTGCTCTCCCCGTACCGACTTCCCCTTAGCTCACAGTTCCTAAACTAGGACACAGCACATTTGGGATGATGCCACCAGGCAGAAAGGGACTGTTCTGCAGAAGGGCTGTGCGTAAGAGGTGAAAATAGCATGTGGAGCTTAGGTCACACAGCAGGAACGGCCATGGAGATACACACGGCCCAGGCTAGGACAGGCCATGGGGTGAGGGCCCAGAGTGGAACTCAGCATCTCCAAACCTCCTCCGAGACAGCTGCAGAGCTGCGGAGAACTAATACCACAGGGCCAGGGGGAGACTACGGAGATGGCCGAGAGGTGAAGGGTTTACACTGCTCTGGCAAAGGCCCAGAGTTCGGTTCCCAGTACCCACGTCAGGTTGCTCATGACCACCTGTAAGAACGCTCCAGGGGGAGCCAATGACTCCTTGGGCACTGCACTCACGTGCGCATGCCCACACAGAGACACACAATTTAACAAGTGAAAATAAATCTTCAAAGGTCGCACAGATCTGACTCCTCGCTACAGCTGGTTCCTCACCTTGCTCTCCCTACCACAGGCAAAGAGGCCAACTGAGTCACATGCGGGGGGGGGGGCCCTCCTCTCCTCCTAGGACCCTGTCTGAGAAGTTCTAGGTCAGAGACAAATGCTTCATGGTGCTCCTGGTGCCGCCAGGGTCTGTTAATCACACTCACCCTCCTGAGCCCATTTCCACCGACTTTCCAGAAGCATCAACTGTCGTGGTGGGCGGAGCATTCACCTGACACCAGCTTGGATCGGCTGGAGGATTGTGCCTGTCTGTTTGTTTATCTCCAGCAAGCTCAGTTGCTAAGGATTTGTTGAATAAAATACGGTGCTCTTTCGTTCACTAGTTCTGACCTGCCTGCCGTCTTCATTTGTCCCTTGGAGAGAGAGGCTTTCTGACCTCTGCTGTCTGATGTGTCTGGCAACGTGACAATGACTTACAGATTCCGGTCCCTGAAGGAATAGCTGGTTCCTGTGACAATGGCCAGGTGAGCATGCGGCTAGAGAAGTCTCAGGATGAGCGGGGACCAGGCAGAAACCCACCCCTCAGGTGAACCCAGGGCCTAGAGCCACTTAGGTGCTAGACAGCCATGTAGCAGGAATCTTAAAGAGTCTTATTAATAAAATCAAACCTGAGGCCAGTTATTGGGGTGAAATGCTGGAAGATCAGAGGAGCAGAACAAGCCACAGCTACCTCACCTCGCCAGTTCCTCAGCTGATCCTGTTTCCTCAGACTGGAAGCCTCTGATTCCTCATCCAGAATGAATCTCAGCTGAACTGCTGCTCGAAAGCCTGAAAGCTTAACCAGCCAAATGCTTCTAGTTTCTGGTCCTCATGCCTTATATATCTTTCTGCTTTCTGCCATCATTCCCTGGGATTAAAGGCTCACTTTCTGGGATTAAAGGCGTCAGTCACCATGCCTGGTTGTTTCCAATGTGGCCTTGAACTCACAGAGATCCAGAGGGATTTCTGCCTCTGGAATGCTAAGATTAAAGGTATGTGCTACCACTGCCTAACCTCTATGTTTAATATTGTGCTGTTCTGTTCTCTGACCCCAGATAAGTTTATTAAAGTGCACAATATTTCGGGGAACACAATACCACCACACAGGCAGGACCCTCAGGGACAGTGGGAGCCAGAGTTCTCTGGTCTAGAAGCATCTTACCTCACATGGTCATGCTGACCCCTGAGAAAAGGGTCATGGAGAAGCCTGGAAAACAACTGGGAACAGGCAGGAAGAGGAGGTGCTGTACCAAGGAAAGCCTGGGATTCCATAGAAGAGGGGGAGCCTTCCCTTTCCTGTGGCAAGTAGCGGAATCCCAGCAGGGCCTTCACCCAGCACAGAGCTTTTACCCCTGAGCTTCCAGCCACCCCCCAAATCAGGTTTCCATCCCAAAGGGCCAGCCAGGAAAACCAGCAAAGGCCAAGGTAGGAAAGGCAGGAGCCAGGCAGATGTGTGTCCCATGGCGGGTTCTGGAGCCCGCCAGGAGAAGCAAGGAAGACAGCTCACAGGAGCCGCTGGGGCTCAGCCATCTCTGCTGCAGCATCATTTGCAAGTGGCTTAGGTGGCGTGTCATGTGAGATTGTTTATGAAGGTCGATTCCTAGTTCCACCCACAGCGGCCCTCCTAGTCTCCGGCTGTGAGTAGGTTCCGGCTCTTTGGGTCGCTGACCTTTAACTTGAGACCGCAGCTGGGGTCCAGCTCTCCATCAGGCACTGGACATCTGTCTGCCTTCTCTGACTCACTTAATCTGAGCCTCAATTTTCTTATCTGTAAATGAGGAAAAGGAATGATTAATGTTAGTTGTTTGACTGAAGAAAATGGGAAGGTGACTCAGAGGTAAGAGCACAAGCTGTGTAAGCCTAAGAACCCAAGTTCAAATCCCAAGGACCTACATGAAAAGCCAGGCATGGTTGTGTGCACTCGAAACCCAGTGTTGTGGGGAGCAGAGATAGGGGGATCACCAGGGCTTGCTGGCGGTCAGCTGAGCTCCAGGTTCAGTGAGAGACCCGGTCTCGAAGGGATAAGATGGAGAGTGACAGAACAGGACACTCAGCATCCTCCTCTCTGGCTTCTGCATGCACCCATGCACCATGCACAACCACACACATATGTGCATGCATATGTTCACACATACATCAGAGAGAGAATGTGTTTTAAGAGAAAAAAAAGAAAATGTCTCTCTCCCTGCCCCAGCAACTATTAACTGTGGATAAATCCTTGGTGGAAATGCCTCACGAGCACCTGCCCTTTCCACAGCAGGGTGGCCGGTCCAGTCTTGTGCAGATGTTGTGTAGGTAGCACAGCTGCTGTGCCGCAGCTAAGTCCCACCCAGGGGTCAGCATTCCACACCACCTATTCTTTTTGTTACCAGGGACAGCTTTGGACCCTGCCACACACGGGTGTAGGGAAAACACAAGTCCTTTTTCTCTAATACTTGGGCAAAGGCATATTTGAGGTTCAGGGTGGCTAGTGACTCCAGCTCAAAGAAGCTAGGGAGGAGAATGTGGGGGTGCTAGGAGGGGTCCACCAAGCCTGGCAACTCCAGCCTTCCCTTGGGAGTGATGGTACCGCTGACACCCTCCTGCCACCCAGAGTGCGACAGGCCTGACCCTGGAGCTGGTGACGTGAGACCAGCAACATTCAATATCACTGGCAATGGTCCTTCCCAGAGAAAGAAACTACCTGTGGCCGTCCTTGGGCCTTTGTCTCACCTGGAAAGGTGGTCAGACATGGGTAAAGAACTGCCCTCTGGGCCTACACAAACCCTAGGGAAAGCATGGCCTGATTTGTCCATCCTGCCCATTTGTGACTCATCGCCCCAGCAGCTACATGCCCATGTCCAAGGCTCTGCCCCAGCCTCTCTCTCTTGCCACCATGCCTGTCCCCCCTTCCCCAGAACCTCAGCTCCTAGTGACCAAGGGACGTTAGCAGCTGGCATTTGAGTCCACCCTACTCCTCAGCTACCGTCCACATACCCAGCTTGTTCCAGGTACAAGGGCAGACTGGCTTTCCATCATTATAGACTATAGCACAAAAACACAATAAAATACAATGAATGTTTCCTCAGCAAAAAAAAAAATCCATTAGATGAGTTACTGTTGTAATTTAATAATGGGATGGGAAACTACAGCAAATTACCGAAGTATATAATTAAAGTAAATCTATTTTAAAGTCCTTTATTGCTTGATATTTCTCAGCTCTCACGCTCTTCCATCCCTGCTCCCCATCTTAACCCCCTTCCCTTTTCTGCGTGGGACGGGGATGGGAGTGATGGATGCCTATGGAGCTTCACTACTCAGCTGCAAATTCTGCTCTCAGCTTGCTTCTCTCGAATGGACAAGATGTACTTGGTACCCCTCAGGTCAGGGCTGCTCCCTTCCAGGATTACGTAAGATCTACCATCCACAGGTGCCCAGGACCACCATTCCTGGAATCTCAGGGGTTAGGGGCTGATTTTTGAAGAAGGCCTGGGCTGGGGAGATGGCTTAGTACTTGCCACACAAGCATGAGGACCTGAGTTGGGTCCTCAGCGTTCACATAAATGCTGGGTGTGAGCAGTACATGCCTGTCATCCCAGTGCTGGGATGGACTCCTGGAGCTGCCTAGCCAGACAATGTACCAAATCAGTGAGCTCCAGGTTCAGTGAGAGACCCTGTCTCAACAAATAATGGGAGACACAACTGAGGAAAATGCCCAATACTAACCCCTGGTCTTCATGGGTGGTCACACATGTGCACACTCACACAGACATGTACATACAACACACACATAGAAACACACACATGAGGAAAGAAGATCCTTCTCATGGGGCAGACAGAAGCCATTGACCTGTGGGCCTCAGATGTGCCCAACTCTTCCATTTCTAAATGGTTGGTACACACAGAGCAACAGGAAGGCAAGATGTAGAAAGGCTCGGAAATTAACCAGATCACACAGCAACAAGTGACAGAATTGGGATTTGACCTCGAGCACGTGACATCTGGCCAGCTGAGCCCAGGAAGTGCCCGTCTGGAGTGCTTCTCTGCTGAAGGCCAGAACCCCGGGTGTGGTGAGTCACGTCAGTTGTTGCAGAGGTTCAAAGGATGGGGAGAGCAGAGGGGCAGCGTGCAGCTGTCACTCCAGCCTTGTTTCCGCTTTCTAGAATTCAGTGTAGGCAGGAGGGGAGCCAGGTGGCCCAGTACGTGCAAAATTAAATCCATGAGCTAGACATGGTAGCTCGGGACTGTAATGCCAGCACCTGGGAGGGTGAGTGAGGCAGGGGAATCACTCTGAGTATGAGGCGAGCCTGAATTACAGGATAAGATTCTGTCTTAAAATAAGGAGGGGGTGAATTACCTTCACCAGAAGGCCTACAATGTGTCACTGAAGGTCTCAGACCTTAAGCGTGGAAAAAGAGACTTCACAGCCCAGACTTCTGGGGACAGGAGGGACAGGAAGGGCCAACTGAGACTATACCCACCTCAAATCATCTCAGTGAAAACAAGTATTTTTTTTTTTTTTGAAACATCATCTCCTGTAGCCCAGATCGGCCTCGAACTCACAGAAGCTGAAGATGACCATGTGTTTCTGCTTCTCCTGCCTCGACCTCCCCAGTGCTGGGACTATGGGGTGTGTCACCCCACCCAGTTTTATGTGGAGCTGGGAACGGAACCTTGGGCATTTTGCATGCTAGGCAAGCACTCTACCAACTGAGTTACATTCCCAACCCAAAGAAAGAATGTTTATGGACCCTTCAAACTCAGGAAGACAGGTTTTCCCTTTCCACAGCCCCCAGACTGCACACAAGGACCAAGGGACCAGGACAAGAGACAAGGCCACATGCTACTTTGTTAGCATAGTGAGCTCTTGGCTTTAGAGAAAAAACGGCCTCAAGAGCATCCACAGAAACTTCCCTGACTGCCAGCGTGCCAGATGACCAGATGCTGCACAGAGCCATCACCCCAGGTCAGCCAGCAGAGGTTCTGCCCTCCTGGCTAAGCACAGAACTGAGCTTTTCCTATAGAGGGGACCCAAGGAGCCCCAGCCACTGGAAGAGGAGAGAGAGGAGAGGTTGCTTTAATAGGCTGAAGGTCTATGCAAATGAGATGCAAAGTAGTATGCAAATTGCACCTTCTGTTTCTGAATCCTAGTGTTTCCTGGGATGAGTCTCTGCAGCCCTGTGTAATTTCTAAAGACCACCTCTCCTCCAAGCCCCTTGTACATCAAAGACAGAACCAAGCTCAATAAGGTAGGTGAGCGGGACTTCACAGAGGGCAGGGGCCTGCTGCTGCATCCTCTGCAGCACACAGCCCCACTGCCATCACCGCTACACTTTCCAGTCCAGGACAGTGCACAGAGACATGCACAAAGAGCCCCAGGGGTGCCTGAGAACAGTGAGGACAGGCACACGCATGTCCCTGAGCCTCTTTGCAGTGTCAGGATGGTGTGCTGACCCCGGATGCTGTAATGTATGTGGCGTTCTCCACTAAGACACCCAAAGAACAGTGTAGGGTTGTTTCCAGCATGGAGAAAGAGAGCCAGGTGGGAAGCCACAGGAAAGAAAGGAACAAGACTCGTGGCCATGTTCAGGGGCAGGGAGGAGACAAAAGTCAGGACAGGATGGGCCTCCTCCTGCATCCCATTTCCAGGACTAGAAGGTGTGGCCCTTAAACAAAGGGATGTAGAGGGTGAGGAAAAACGGAGAAGTGAGAAACTTCAGAAAACGCTACGGGGGATCAGTCCCCTGCCCCAACCCCACAGCATGGCTGAGTCCTGCCGTCCTGGCCACTGACCTATTGAGGGCCTAGACTTCTCAAAAAGACCATAGCATTAGGTGGCTCCCGTTCTATTCAGGGTCCTCAAAGTTGGTCAAGGATTCCTCAAGGATGCTCCACATCCTTCATCCCTTCCTAGGTTCCTTCTCTGGGTCCCTCTGACATCTCTTTGTCTAAGAACAGTGGGGGTGGAGGGAAGAGAATAAAACAATCAGATCAGGTGGTCCCTCCAGTACCTCACTACCTTCTGGCAACCTCTTTGGGTGTTGTTATCAGGCTAAGGCCCAGAGTGGCATCAGAGACCTGGGGGTGGGTGACGCTGCCACAGATGTCCCCTCCCCTCTGCTGGTGTCACTCTGCTTCTTACACCCTGCACTGTTAGTCTTTCCTCTCCAAAACTCTCCAGCAGAAGAGGAAGCCATCTCAGAAACAAGCCCCACTCTGCAGCTACAGACCCACCAAGCTGTAAACAAGGACAGACACGCTCACCCGGACCACACAGACTTCCCTAACATGGTAGCCGGGGCCAGGGACAGCCTGCGGTGGAAACTCTGAAATACATCCTCTCTCTCTCTCCCTTCCTCTAAAGCCTACACCAGATCAGAGCTTGCTGCCATTCATTTCTAAAGTAGCCCCCCATCTCACCATCGTGGAGATCGCCCTCCAAAGTGGGTGTGACCTTTGGCAGAAGCAAAGCCCTGGGTTACAAGGGAAGCTGGCATCTTGCAGCTGAAAACTCTGCCCCAGGGATGACTCCATCGACACTGATCACTGGCCAGCCCCTATGAACAAAGCAGGCACTGGCAAAGTGTGATGGGCTGAACTGTCTTCCCCCAGTCCTTGTCAGAGCCTTGCCCCACGGTGAGGCTGTGTGAGAGGCAAACTCTTTAGGAGAGAATTAAAGCTGTAATAGGACATTCACAGAGAGTGGGACTGTGTCTGGGTTAACATTCGTGGTCAGCCTCACAGCATCTAGAATCACCTAGGATACCAGCCTCTGGGCGTGTCCCTGAG